CTCCACAAAGAACTACGACTGGTCCAAAACTAATACAAATACATATGTACATGAAAAAAGCATGATCCATTTGACTTTACGATGAGGACCACGTAATCCCTACATGTATTACAACAAACTAATCACATGATCATCAACATTCTCTTATTTAATGCATGCGATGGACCATATTGTTTTCATGTATGTAGAGCATATGAAGAGAAATTAGATCCAAATAACATGGAAAATTCTAAGGATTTTCGTCCAGGAAATTGTGTTTCTGAACACAGGACGATAAAATTTTGAGTTGAGTCACTTTTGAACTATACCCTTTTGAACCTATCCTTAATACATTTTTTTAAATAAATTGAAAATATTTCTAACATTTGTAACAAATATCAAATTAAAAAACACTTTCGCGAGAATATTCCTCGAATTCATTAATCTTCTTTTACAGAGAACTCTCAAGCAAATAGAATCTATTAATAGAAAAAAGATGCACAACTACATAGAATTACTACCATATGACACAATATGCTAAGTCTGCTGTGTATTGGAATGAAGTGGGTGGATGTAAATATGAATGTTGTGGGCTTGAAACATTTTGTTGCTATTGCTGTGTACATTAGTTGAGTTTAAGTTTTGCATTTTTTTAGACTGCAAAAGGGAAACATTGCAATTTGTTGGTTTAGACCGCATTCGAGTATTTTTTTATTTTGTTTATAGAAATATTTTTTGTAACTAAAAGCCTTTTGATGTTTGTCTCACTAGATCATTTCTTTTCAATTTTAATACTGTTGTAGTTTAATACTGTGGAAGTTGTTACTAAAACTGGTATTATATGCAACAGCAACTGCTGCTGCTTGCTTTTAGATATTTGTAGGGAATTTAAGATATTTTGTTTACTTCTTTTATTAATAATTTTTTTTTTTTTAATAAATCTTAGTCAAGACTTAAAACTGCAGCATTTGTAAGCTAGTTTTTTTAAGATAGATATTTGGTACTTGATGTGGTGGTGGTTGTTTTGTAGCAGCTGCGAAAATATCAATGTTGTTGCATAAATAAATATGAATAACTGAATTTATTAAAATAAGATTTTGTATAAAATTTTATAAACGAAATAAAATGCAGTATGTATGGCCTTCAATAAGCTAGTAGTTAGTGTTCTAACTAGTAGAACAGAGGACGTGAGTTCGATTCCCTCAGTGCACAACAGGCCCGATAGAGGCCTAGGATTATTTCTTCTGTATTGATGTACGTACTTATATACATACATTCCCTCAACTAACTAACTAACTAACTAACTAACTAACTAACTAACTAACTAACTAACTAACTAACTAACTAACTAACTAACTAACTAACTAACTAACTAACTAACTAACTAACTAACTAACTAACTAACTAACTAACTAACTAACTAACTAACTAACTGTCAGCCTATAACAAATGGCAAGATAATTCATGAACAGTGAGAACAGCTGAAGATCAACTGAAACAGAAATTTAATTGTCTTTCTCAAATTAGAATATTATTAACTTTGTAGCAGTAGTTTTCCTGAAAAAAAGAATTAACCACAACGTTTAAAATAACTTAAATAAAATTAATTTTCATAAGAGATTTTGTATTTTTAAGCCAATAATAGTCAGAATATGACTATAGTCATATATTATTATATATTATATATATTATATTATTATATTATATATATTATATATAATTGGCTTATATGGAGGCTAGAGTCAAATGTGAACCGTCTTTGATATTGACTTAACTTAAATAAAATGGTAATAAATTAATGTTTTGTAAAAAATTCACCTTCAGAAACACAAAAACACATCACAGACTTATGGCAGACCCTTTAACAAATAGATTTCTTTTTTTTTCCAACAACATAAATTAAACATGTACTACTTCCATAAACAATCCCTTAGAATTTAATTTCCTACAAACTCACAAAAGGGAGGCAGAGTTCAAACCAAAAAATAAATAATACGGAAATGTTGCAAGTTCACTTTTACAAAACAAGAAATTTTGTTTGTTTTATTTAGACCAGAAACATCTACACCAAAAAACATACATGAGGCTGTAGGGTTGATGATCCACTTGTATATTTAGTTTTATTTTATGGCAGGAATTCCTTAATGAAAATCGAAACTTAATCAAAAGCACTGATTGATTGAATAAGTGAGTGAGTGAATGAATGAATAAAGACTGAATTAAATGCAATGAAAAGGAAAACAAGGCTGTTAAACTGAAACTCAAATAAAAACAACAACAACAAAATAAGTTTAAAGAATTTTTAAATAAAACTTTACCTAACACATTATTATAACGGGTTTGGTTGCTTTTGTTTTATTAAAAATATAAAAAAAAAACAAACTGAAATCGTATAAAGCACTGAACTGAAACTTTTTCGAAATAATAAAAAAACAAAGATTTGAATTGTTTTTTGAAGTGGAAACCGCTTTATTTAATAAGAAAACTTTTTCAGATGCCTTTTTCTATCCCAATCTTCCCGCACAGAAATACTCCTTCTTTTTGTTAATACCATAATCTTAAAGACGAAGCAAAATTCTTTGTCTGTCTGTCGGTCTGTTTGTTAGTATTACGGTTTGTTAAAGCCTGCCTCTGCATTCAATGGTGAGTGAGTGAAGTGAAGCAGAAAAGTTTAGTTAACAATTTTATTTTTTTATCCCGTTTTATTTTATTCTATAATACAGATCCAGATTTATATGTATATTTATATAATTTAATACTGTGTCTATATAAACAAACACACAAATACCAATACAAAAAAAAATATGTATATTTAGACATAACAACATTCTCATAAATATAAAGAAATTTTATTTATATTTTTATTTCAATGTATTTTTTTTTTTTTTGCTAAAATGATTTATAAAGTGGTTAAATTAATATGATTTATAAGCCAAGCCGAGCCAAACGAAAGCGGCCCAGTGAAACTGTCATTTTTAAATTGTTTGTTGAAATTCTTGGAATTCCGTTTTATTTACGCTTTCGTATATTTTCCTTTCCTGTTTTTTAGTTCATTTTAATATCAAACCGATTATTCTGATTATTATTGTAATATTTAACTTATTCCTTTAGAAGAGAGGCAGGAAATAGCAGCAGGAGGAAATGGCAAGCAAATAAAGTAAAAAGTAGACATTATGGCTCTACTATGTCTGTCTCTCTGCTGTCTACAGCTCATTACTTGCTGGGGAATTTGTTTTTCAACTTTTCTGCTTTTTAAAAAATAAATTTTAATGAATTTTTCATTAGTATTGTTGTTATTGTATTTTGAAAAGCTAATTTTATGACACTTAACTTATTTTTCCAGATACTTTAAGACTGAAGATGCTTACAATGCTAAATTAGAATCAGAATAAAGCCAAAAGAAGAGCTTAATTAATGTTCTATATGATGTGTTTTCAATTGTTAAATGTTCGCCGTTGTATTTGTAATTGTGTATGAAATAATAAAAATTTAATTAACTTAGGAAAACAGTTTGAAATATTAATTAAAATTTATAAATGTAGAGATATTTTGAAAACTTATTTAAATGACATTTTCAACTACTAAACGTTTTTGTTTTTGGCACTTTTGGAAGATGTGTTTTGAAATCAAATGCCAAGAAAATTTAATTATATTTAAGTAAAGCATCACTTAAATATTAAAAATTAAAGTGCATAAAATTATCTAAAAAGATTAGCATATATAATGATTTTGCCACTGTATGTGTTATATATAACAAGTAAGAGTGATATATTCGGCTGTGCCGAATCTTATATACCCTTCACCATAGTGTATTTAAAAAATATAAATTTTATAAAATTTAAATTTATGTACCTATTTAATTTTCCCGATTATATCATTATTATAGCAATAGCAAAATAAAATGAACAACAACAACGCTAAACGAAATAAACACTCAAAAAACAAAATACACAAGGCAGTAAAACCAACAGACATCAAACATACGAAACTGTACACCAACAAACAAAAACAATATACACAAGGCAATGGAACACACAGCCTTCCAAACATACACAACTGAATACACCAAGAAACAAAAACAATATACACAAGGCACTGAAACACACAGCCATCCAAACATACGAAACGAAATACTCGAAAAAAAACAAAATACACAACGCAATCAAACCAACAGACATCCAAAAAATACGAAACTGAATACACCAAGAAACAAAAACAATATACACATGCCAATGAAACACACAGCCATCCAAACATGTGAAACGAAATACTCAATGAATAAGCAGTGTTGTTGTTGTTGCTTATTAATCAAAGCATGAAAAAATTGTCTTTTTTAATGAAATTTTCAGAGGTTGTCTCGGATTTTTGCTTATATCTCCGTCATTTATGGACCGATTTTGCTGATTTTAAATAGCGATCTTCTCGAAAGCATGTCTAACAGAATTATTGAAGATTCGGATCTCGCCGATATCTGGGGTCCTCTAAAAACTGATTTCAACAGACAGACAGACGGACATGGCTTAATCGACTCCGCTATCTAATTATATTATAGAAATTACAAACGGAATGACAAACTTATATATACCCTTCTCACGAAGGTGAAGGGTATAAAAATATTAGTCATAAATAGACCCACAACGGCGCATAATAGGTTTTACAATTAATTTTCCTAATAACGAATATTGAACGAATTAAAATTTTTAGCCTTAATCATAACCCAATATTCGAACAAACTCTACTAATTTCTATTCATAAACTTAAAAACAATTGTTGACTTAACTCATTTAAATTCATAACTTTTTCACAAAATTTTTTTTCTTGCGTATATTTTCCAAAAAAATGCATTTCACTTTAATTTAATCACTAACTTTACTCTAGCAATAAAACCTTGAGGCAATTCTATTTGAATACACGTCTTACCTTAATTCGTATATGAAAATTTGCATTTTAGAAAACGATAACAACAACAACTATAACAAGAAAAGAAAACATACAAAGAAATGGAAATGTATAAAACTTACCAATATGAAATGTTGCACACAAAACTCCTGTTTACAGTTGCCAAATTGCAGTGAAACAAAAGAAAAAAGATGAAGAATTTCGTACGTACTCCTTTTTATTTAATTTGTTTTTTGGCCAGAGTCTAAATCGAAAGTTGCACACTTTCACTGGCTGAAAAATTATGGGGAAATTTTTAAAATGCCTTTAAGTTCAAGGATAATTATTAAACGCACATACACACATTCGTGCACAACTGCACACATTTATTCTTCCGGTTGTTTTCTATGCACTTTCTTTAAATTTTATATATTTTTTTTGTTCGTTGTATTACAATAACAGTGAGTAAGTATGTATATGTACCTTGTTACTGTGTAAAGTCAACTAAATCATACACACATGCCTAGATATCTAACCACATTGCACAGTGTGCCCACTGTGAGCCTGTCTACTAAATAATTTGTTAGCAAAATTTTTATACCCTACACCGCTATAGTACGGATGATATTATGGGTTTATGCTGATGTATGTAACGTATAGATATATTGGTTTTAAACGACTCAGAATCATTTCCTAAATCGATTTAGCTATGTCCGTTCGTCTCAATATTTTCAAGATAATTTGCTGAAATTTGACAAATTTATTTCCTTTGACCAAGAACGAAACCTTTTGAAAATGGTTAAATATCGTTTATTGTTTAAAATTTACATAATTTGATGATGGAAAATTATTACTTGGTAAGCGAATCTCTTTTCGATGCCCTTTAATCTTATCCTGCATAAAAATACATACATACGTATGATTGCGTGTAGGTATATAAACACATGCGTTTATATGAGTGTTAATATGTATATACATACATATATTCTTTTACTTTAATTTTAATTCTTGACATTTTTAACATTTTACTTTGCCAAGAACAATATAGATTTGTGGTTTGTATAATTTAAAAATCGTATGAAATTTTAAAACGTTTCCTTGTTGGCATGAAAAAATTATATTATAGTAGGAAATACATACATATATTTTGTATTCGGGCCAAATGTTGTTTCAACACCCATCTAAACTAATTGGAACATTTGCTTTAACAGAAGGGGTATTTTTAAATATTTTCAAAAATTATTAAGAAGGTATTGGCCATATAAGATGGGTTCCTATATTTTTGATAAAATTGATGTTTACATAAAAAATAGGTATGTATTATCTGTATGGGCCTGGTTTTCAGTAGAGTAAATAACATCAAGTGGTATAGAAATAACAAAAGTGGGAAATAATTCTGTAACTTCTAATTCCTTGCCCGATTGAAATAAAACTTTACATGCGTAAAGAGGAAGTGTTGTTGATTTTATGTTTTAGATTTGGTCATCATAGGACCACCAGGGACACCTCGGATATGTTAAACTTTTAAAACTATTCTATTTCTTCTTCCCGATCTCCAAAAAATAAGTTCGTTATTAGTTAGTAAGTTAGTTAGGTAGTTAGTTAGTTAGTTAGTTAGTTAGTTAGTTAGTTAGTTAGTTAGTTAGTTAGCTAGTTAGTTAGTTAGTTAGTTAGTTAGTCAGTTAGTTAGTTAGTTAGTTAGTTAGTTAGTTAGTCAGTTAGTTAGTTAGTTAGTTAGTTAGTTAGTTAGTTAGTTAGCTAGTTAGTTAGTTAGTTAGTTAGTAGTTAGTTAGTTAGTTAGTTAGTTAGTTAGTTAGTTAGTTAGTTAGTTAGTTAGTTAGTTAGTTAGTTAGTTAGTTAGTTAGTTAGTTAGTTAGTTAGTTAGTTAGTTAGTTAGTTAGTTAGTTAGTTAGTTAGTTAGTTAGTTAGTTAGTTAGTTAGTTAGTTAGTTAGTTAGTTAGTTAGTTAGTTAGTTAGTTAGTTAGTTAGTTAGTTAGTTAGTTAGTTAGTTAGTTAGTTAGTTAGTTAGTTAGTTAGTTAGTTAGTTAGTTAGTTAGTTAGTTAGTTAGTTAGTTAGTTAGTTAGTTAGTTAGTTAGTTAGTTAGTTAGTTAGTTAGTTAGTTAGTTAGTTAGTTAGTTAGTTAGTTAGTTAGTTAGTTAGTTAGTTAGTTAGTTAGTTAGTTAGTAGTTAGTTAGTTAGTTAGTTAGTTAGTTAGTTAGTTAGTTAGTTAGTTAGTTAGTTAGTTAGTTAGTTAGTTAGTTAGTTAGTTAGTTAGTAGTTAGTTAGTTAGTTAGTAGTTAGTTAGTTAGTTAGTTAGTTAGTTAGTTAGTTAGTTAGTTAGTTAGTTAGTTAGTTAGTTAGTTAGTTAGTTAGTTAGTTAGTTAGTTAGTTAGTTAGTTAGTTAGTTAGTTAGTTAGTTAGTTAGTTAGTAGTTAGTTAGTTAGTTAGTTAGTTAGTTAGTTAGTTAGTTAGTTAGTTAGTTAGTTAGTTAGTTAGTTAGTTAGTTAGTTAGTTAGTTAGTTAGTTAGTTAGTTAGTTAGTTAGTTAGTTAGTTAGTTAGTTAGTTAGTTAGTAGTTAGTTAGTTAGTTAGTTAGTTAGTTAGTTAGTTAGTTAGTTAGTTAGTTAGTTAGTAGTTAGTTAGTTAGTTAGTTAGTTAGTTAGTTAGTTAGTTAGTTAGTTAGTTAGTTAGTTAGTAGTAGTTAGTTAGTTAGTTAGTTAGTTAGTTAGTTAGTTAGTTAGTTAGTTAGTTAGTTAGTTAGTTAGTTAGTTAGTTAGTTAGTTAGTTAGTTAGTTAGTTAGTTTGTTTGTTTGTTTGTTTGTTAGTTACATATATAAAATCCGAAGAACTACATCTAGCCCTCTATGGCCTGTTGTGTACTCTTCTAATTTTATATAGGAAACTCTTATAAAACAATATTATATTGTGGAAATTTCAAACGGTTCAGATTTCCCTCAAACTTTTAAACTTACATATATAAGCATAAAGCCACGTGTTATTAAGCTGTGATATTCGCAAAAATTTATTTATTTTAAAATTTTATGAATATTAATAATAAGCAATAATTAGGTCTAAAAAATTTGTTCTCACAAATGTTTGATCCAATTTAAAATAAAAACACATATTTAAAACTTGGTATTTTATTTAACCGATAAGAATCGAATTCTTTTATTTTGACAAATATTATGAGAAAACATGTTTTAAAAAAATTCAATTAATTTAGTTATATTCAAAAGAAAACAATCCAATTAAAAAATAATTTATACAAAAAGGAAAAAATATTTATGCGGTTGACAATGTACTCTGTTATGTGATAAACCGAAAAAAACTTCAAAGGATAAATTGGCATGTTCTGAAATTTGTTGGAAAATATTTAACAACACAAAGGATAGAAGCCATTCATATAATTTACAACTTTTTTACGATTTTAGTGATTTATTATACAGTAAAATACATTTAAAGACACTCATGTATTTTAAACTAAATTTAAAAACTCACATGTTTTTTAAAATAGTTTTATGTTTAGCATAAAATACTTAACGATCCTTAAATAAATAACACACATTCACGATTTTTAAAAGAAAAGTTTTTATTGTTATTTGTTTGTTTACCAAAGAGTTGGTATTATTTAGATAATCTTTATATTAATATTAATCATTTGTTTTGTCAAAACGAAAGTTAAGAACAAGAAAACAATATATGAAAAAATGCTAAGAATATGAAATTCCGCTGCAAAAACAAGAATATTATGTATCTAGAAGTATAATGTGTCTTTTTTTTTTTTTTTTGTATATTAAAAGAGTCTGTCTAACTTATAACGACTTTCAGGATATAATAGCAAAACACACATTTACACAGATTTTATTAAAAAAAATAAGAAAAGTTTTTCTTTAACACACATACATATTTATAATAAATGTCATGTAGTTATACATACATATATTAAATACATATACCCGTCGGTCTTAAAAGTAGCAAATTTAAACTACATATGTAGGTATTAAGGTCTTTCTCTTATCTTAACAATAACATAAACTTGTTGTTGCCACTATCAATGTAAATAGGGTATAAATTATCAAATAACTTGTTTCCAGAACTGCAGGGTATCTTCGTACGTACATATGTAAATAATGATGATGTTGATAAAATTTCTTAATAGCATAAGAAACTCACACTCACTCATCTCATGAATGCATTCATGTGTCTTCTTACGAGAGGTCTCTGTAGTCCTCTAAGTATATGACTATAATTTTTTATTTTGCATGGAATAAAGTGGAGCACAGTAGTATTTATCCAAAAGTCTTCCTTATTTTTCTGCCGTATTTGAACTATATGTATACTTATACAAACACATGCATGTAATAAATGTTTGTATGTACATATGTAAAAAAAGTGTGCTTCTATTATCTTTTAGCAGGATTACCAATATTCACATTTCTAGTAGAAACTGGTAATTTTAATGTTTTTTTGTTGTTGTTTTATATAAATATATAATATGATGAGGGTAAATTTAAAAGTAACTAAAATATTGATATGTGCAAAAAATACATTAATTATATGTTTTTTTTTTTTTTAATTTTGTTTTATATAAATATATTATATGATTTTGATTTTGAAATGAGGGTAAATTTAGAAGTAACTAAAATATTTATATGTGCAAAAATACATCTATATCTGAGACTATCTGAGATTCATCATCGCACAGCTTAAACGGTTGAAGCTGAAGAGCTGAAATTTGGACTAGATATTGGTCTCACACCAAAAAGATCCACAAAGTTTTTTAAAATTCGAATGTTTAGGGGGGAAAAAGGGTAAAAACGGGTAAATTCGGTAACCTCATATCTCCTTAACTAGAAAAGATAAAAAACAGTTTAAAGCTTATTGTCGTTCATTTAAAAAATAAGCGTATACTTGTCTATCTGCAAATTCGGCCATTTTAGGGAATAAACGGGTAAAAACTGTATTTTGGTACTTTTTTTTTGCCCTCCATGTATCTTTTAAACCAGTGAACATACAAAATATATTTTTGATTAGATTTAGTAACACTAAATATGCCAATGGGGTATCACTTCGAACTTCAGCACAAAGGAATATTTTTGGTACTTTTTAGTTTTTTAACTAGTACTTTTTGAGTTTTTTATAATATTGAACCTAGAAACATGAAATTAAGTATGTAGAGCCCGGATTAGGCGAGAACACATAAAAGGGGTATTTTTGGTACTTTTTCGTTTTTTTTTAATTGTATTTTTTTAATTTTCTATAGTAATGAATCTAGAAACAAGAAATTATGCATGCAGATCCCGGAGTAAATGAGATCGTATAAATGGTACTTTTGCTACCTTTTCGTTCTTTTTCGTTTTTTAACTGGTACTTTTTGAGTTTTCTATAATATTGAACCTAGAAACATGAAATGTAGATCCCGAGTAAATGAGAATGTGTAGCCCGGAGTTTTCTATTAAATTGAACCTAGAATCAAGAAATTAAGCATGTAGAGCTCGGAGTAAATGAGAATCTATAAAAGGGGACTTTTTGGTACGTTTTCGTTCTTCAAAAGGTACTTTTTGAATTTTTTATAATATTGAACCTAGAAACATGAAATTAAACACGTAGAGCCCGGAGTAAGTGGGAATATATAAAAGGGGACTTTTTGGTACTGTTTCGTTCTTCAAAAGGTACTTTTTACATTTTCTATAACATTGGAACTAGAAGCATGTAATTAAACATGTATAGGCCGGATTAAGTGAGAACCTTCAAAAGGGGAATTTTTGGTACTTTTTCGTTCTTCAAACGGTATTTTCTAAATTTTTTGTAATATTGATCCTAGAAACATGAAATCTCTAAAAGGGGACTTTTTGATATTGCATCTATGCGATCCGGGTAGCGAAGCACACTGGGTATAGCTAGTTAATTATAAAATTTCAATTTGTGAACAAGCTTATACTATAATATTATAACTCAGTTTCTTATCCATTGATGTACAATTGTTCTACTAGAGAGGAATTGTAAACATCTCCAAAAATTTTGATATAAAACATACATGAGAAGCATGTTTTACTTACACTATGTAAGTATGTATGTGTATATGCATGTACTGTGTACACTACATATGTATAAGAAATGTCTTACAAGTGTAATTTTAGTTCAGAAACTTAAATTTTAATCTCCTATAAAACCCCCCAAAAAAATGAAAACGAATTGTTTTTAAGAACAAGGAAATACATATTTTTGTACTGGTAGCTAAGTCACAAACAGAAGACTAAGTTTTGCTTAAAAAACAACTATACGATGTTTTAATAATACAGTAAATAATAATGGTAAGAAAATTAAATACATACAAGGTTAAAATTTAACAAAAAAGTTTTATGACAAGTTGAAAACAACTCTGTACAATTTCTATTTCAAAGGGAAAAAATAAATTTTTCTAGACTTTTTTTCTTTTTCATAACCACTACAATTTGTAGGTCTTAAAGAAATATTACTACCAACATGAATACAACACAAATCAATTAAACAAACTACATGTCATTCACAAAATAATGTTGCAAGTTTAAAAAATACAAAAATAATGCCACAAAATGACGATGTAAGTGTCTACCACTAACGTTATTACCACTGCAACTGCAAGTAGTTTATGTGCAACACGAAACGTTATTATCATGATCATCATCAACAACATCATCTTACAAAATTTATGCTCGTGAAACAGTTTAATGCTCTATTCGATGCCACATGCACTCACCAAAGTCCCAATTCAACCACATTGTACTTGTTTCTTTCAAAGAGCATTAAAATGAAATAAAAAAAAAACAAACTAAATTAAATGTTACATGATGATGTTGAATGAATGGCAGAGGGAGGGGAGAAACAACATTGTGGCAGGATTACTTTAATGTTGCATGTTTTTTGAGTTGAAATTTGTTATGAAATGATTTTGTGAGTGTGTCAGTGGTTTTCGATGAGTATGTGGGTGTGAGTGTGTGGCTGATGCCTGGTTTGTTGCCTGGTTGACTTCTCAAAGCAATAAACATTATTTATGTCCTTGTGCTCGAGTAACAGTTTTTGTCTTTGAGTATTTAATTTATTACACTAGATGTCGACTACCACTGTCGCACTACAGGCACACATTCCTTTACACTTGTATAGGATAAGGAAGATTTCGACAACTTTTTAGTCATGTTTCCTTTTAAGAAAGGAAAATATATGTTGGTATTTAGTAGGGACACCTTGAAACAATTTGTTTTCTTCTCTAATAAGCACATTATCAATAATAAGCAAAAAAAAAAAAAAAAAAACAATTTATAAACCATAACTAAGCATTTTAAAATAAAATGGCTAGGAAATTTACTTTAGAATGCAAAATTATTTATGTATATAAATTAAATATTTTATAAGATTTATAATATCCTGAAATTTCCTAAAATTATTCTCAACGACACAGATTGAAACAACTAAAAAAAATTAATAACTTTTACTTAAAAAAATAGGTTTTGTAGTAAACAAACACTAAGCATTTGTTTACAACATTAAAAATAATACTTATTTTATGAAATTGTTCAATCAAACAATTTAAATTTTACTTTTTTATCCGCTCTAATGGGGCTACAGAAAATAGACATATTTTAGAAGTCTTTGCTAGGAAATTTTTATATTTAACTATTTGTTTCTTAAATGATGCACAGTGGGGTAATTGCGCAAAATTTCTTATTTCAAAACGCCTGTAGACAAAGTATATATCAAAGGATAGAAAATTTTTTCTATTTTATTAAATATGGGCTATTTCGTGTCAAGTGACCCAACTTTTACAATCGATGTTTTCCGATTTTGATTAAATTTACACCAAGGTTAGTACTACTAGATAGTAGAATTTTCAGCTCTATCGGTCAAGAACTACCGAACTTAGAGGGGGTCAAATTTGGTAATTTTGGTCGTACAGGGTTTTATTCAAATGAGTGCAACTTTTCCCCCATTGGTCCTAGCGAAAACTATCCAAAGGAATTCTGATAGCTATTTCTTCATTGTTTCCATTTTTTTTTTTATTTTTTTAAATTAATTTTTCTAAAATTTGTTTTTTCCTTTTCTGTTTGCTCAGAAGAAAGCTTATACAATTTATTTTAAGGAGGCACTTTAGTACCAACATGAATGTTGATACTAAATGGGTGAACTTGAAATAGGGGGCGTGGCAGCTCCCATGTGAATTAAATTTTAAAGTTCGTTGATCTGATAAACTATTTATTCTTACAATTTTGCACAATGACATTTAACATCCATGTGAAAATTTAGGATAAAAATATACCTCCCATACGAAGGTATATTTAGCAGGAGCTGCTTTGACATTCACATGTGCACATATGAGTAATAAATTGGCGGACTTAATTTTAGAGGCGTGGTACCTCCCATACAAATTAATATAAAAAAATCGTTTATCTAGGAAACTATTGGAGCTAGATTTTTAAAATTTTGTGCGAAGAACTTTAATATCAATTTGAACATTTGGGGAACTTTGATTAAAGAGGCTTCTCAATTCCCATGTAAATTAAGTACAAAATTCGGGTATCTTGGAATCTATTGGAGCTAGAATATTCAAAAATTGTAAAGTGTTTTTTTATTTATATTGACTTTAGGGTAGCAAAGCACACTGGGTATAGCTAGTCTATATTTATAAAAATTTATGCGTGGGTGTTTGTTTGTTTAAATGTTTGTATGTTTGAACTTTATAGAAATTGTGAAATTTTCACAGAGTATCTTGAATTTTTTTTCAAGTGGGCGAGAAAATATTAAGTTCGTATATTTGAGATAATATAACAGTTTGAGTCCTCAAATTTTGTAGGAGCCACTTTAGTGTCAATATGATTATTCAGAACAAAAAGTGGGCAGACTGGCATTAGGGCGCGTGGCATCTCCGATATAAATAAAATACAAAAATTCGTTTATCTTGGAATTTTGCACGAATAACTTTAATATCCATGTAAACATTTTGGGTAATAAATTAGCGGACTACCAAAGAGGGCAGCGGTACCTCCCATAATAATTAAATACAAAAATTCATTTATCTGGGAAACTAATAGAACTAAATTCTTTAAATTTTTCACGAAGAATTTTAATATTAATCTGAATATTTTGGAGGAAAAGGAGCGGAATTTCATCTGGAGGCGTGGGTTTTGACCCTGTGTGCCCACTTAGAAGAGTCAAAATTTTTAAATTTTCTAATCTGTTAGACCAGAGGTTGTGGGTTAGATTCCCACCTGAGGCACTGATAAGAGAGCGCACAACAGGTCCGGAGGAGGCCTAGTTGTATTCCTTCAGATTTAATGTAACATACATATTCCTTTCAATATAATTAACTAAACTTTAAATTGTTAGAATAAATATTTAGCTATAATCGGTTAAATATGTTCACAAATAAAAGATTGTGAATGTATTCTTAATTGTAAACCTACCTGAGTTGACCTATTTTTAGGACTTTCGAACTCACCCCGAATGGGATTATAGATCCAAAATTTAAAAATGAATACTCGATTTATCCTCTCTAGACATGTGATAATTAAAAAAAATCGAATCAAACATTCAGAAATTACAGATTTATTACCCTTTTACGAAATTCGACGTCTAAATAGAATATTTCTCGATTGTATACAAATATGAATGAATAATTTATTGATTGTTTTAAAAACTACATCCTAAGCGAAGTCCATAGAGCTTTAGAAAAAATCCAATAAAAATATTTTAATAAAAAATGTACGTTATTTCTGCGTGAAGCCAAAAATTATTTTTTGTTTGTTTTGCAAATTTATTAAATTGACGCTTTTAATATTTAATATGCGCATTCATAGTACTTTTTTATTAATGTGTAAATGTGTTTTCCATGAAATTATCACTCACGGTATGTGCGTTTATAAATTCACTTAATCAAATTTCAAATTAATAATAGGATTTGTTATAAATAGAGCAACCAAAACTATGCTATAAATATACATTTTTTGATATTGTGTAGCAAGTGTATTCAGTATTTTTTGACAAAAAGTAAATTTAAATTTTTTAATAAGGGGTTTAGGCCTTTTATTAAATACAAAATTAAGATAATTTATAAAAAATATATTTATAGTGAAAAATGCTAATAAATCATTTTCTATATTAAGTTCACTAAATTTCCTTTTGTTAAAAGCACGTTTTTGATTGCTCTGGTTATAAAAAAATAATATTTTTTTACTAATTACATGTATTTTGCAGATGATTTTTTTTATATAGTATAAAACTATATCTTAAACTTGTTGATTATAAAAAAATCACGTTTTTTGTTATTTGATTATTTAGTAATTTTAATTTAATTATATTTTATATATATTTTTTTTTTTGTCATTAAACACTCACATTTAATTTTTTACAACTAAAAGAAAATATAAATATTTTTATTCTTTTTAAGAGCTGTAATATTTTAACAACTTTTTTTAATTGAAAAATTTAATTGATATTTCTTTTTTAAAAAAATTTAACTTAAATACCGACGGTTACACATTTTTGTTCTAATTCTTAAGTTAATTTTTGCTAAGCGATTTATGTTTCCCCTTTTTGTGATTTTAATTTTTATTAATTTATTTTTGATTTTGTTTTTACTTAATGGGTCAATTATTTAATTGTTTATCCTTTGGAACAACTCGACTCGTACGCGGCTAAAACAACACTGAACTTTTTGCCTGAAACACCACAAAATGTCTTGTGCGAGACACAGAACTTAAACAACATACACGGACAAACTCACAGGATGCTTTAACTAGAAACACACACTACACAAATCAGAGACATTGGCAACCAACACACTGCGTTCGGTTATTCGGTGTTAAGACATTGAAAAACGAAGAGCACACACGAGGACAATGATGGTAATATTTTAAAGCCACATTAAAGCAACAACAGCAACAAACATTTAACATTTGATAGTTTGACACAACAAAGACAACAACAACTCTTCTCAACCAAAATGCAAAATTAACCGCAACAAAAAGGAAATTCAATTCAGCAACAACACGAGAAAAAACAAAAACAAATTGGCGCCAAAATGCCAACACTTAACTGAGCATGTGCCGGAACACAAGTGAACCCAGTATTTGAGAGCGAAACTAGAGAAAATACTGGTACTAAAAACAACTTGAAGGACTTGATTCTCTCTCTCCGATGGATGGGATTGATTTATTGGAAAGAAAAGGAAGAAGACGGGATTTTTGTTTATGTTTATGTTTTTGTTTTGGTTAAATTAAACGTCTAATAATTTTCATAAAACGTTGCTGACTGGCTGGCATTCATTGATAAACTGGTAACCTAATGACACAGTCCTTTAACGACCAAAAACAAACATTCACTCACAGACACATATGCGTTTTTCGCCAACATATAAAGTAATTTCTTGTCTTTTTAATGGTCGCATGAGTTTGTCTGCTCGCTTTGTTTCCTTGCGACACAGTCAATAAATGATGAGACAATTCTTTGGGGATTAATCGCTTAAAAAGCAAACTGCCTCAAATAGATAATTTCTCTTTATTTTTTGTTTGGCTTTTGGGGCAACCAGCATGTGAACTGATAAAGAAGAAAACAAAAACAAACCCCTTTAGATAAAGACATTTGAATTATTGTTTTAAGACTTAATGTGACTCAAGGGCAACTAAATAAACTGTATAAAGACAACAACATTTATTTAACATACTTAAAAGAGATTTAATCCCTTACAAAAAAACAATTTAAAACTTTATTTCCTTAAAATTTGCCAAACGAATTTATTTTATTAATACTCTCTCATTATTCTTGCCAAAGAACTATGTAGCTAAATAGATGTTAGTGTTTTTGTTGAATTCAATTTTGTCTTTAAACTAACAACTTTAATACAAAAAATATAGCAGAATACTATATAATCGTAAAATAGAACACAACAACACTAAACTAATTTGGGAAAAATGTATAAAAAATGAAACAAAACAATTACTTTTAGCATCTTTTGGTAATGCAAAATTATATTTATATAGAATTTTTTTAGCGTTTTAAGAAGAATAAAAGCAACGAAATAAAAGATGGTAATTGAAATAAAATGCCAACGATATCATTTTGTATTCTAGGATACGACGAAAAATATTCTTTCTTATTTACACTCACTCACTAGCCCACCCACTTATAGTTAAACGAACACGCACTTAGAAATGGACACATACTCTCAAATACAGTTTAGTGTTTTTCGAATGAAATTTACACTGAAAAAAAAAGAATACTAATAATGTAACAACAGTGAGAAAAATGGATATTTAATAAAATTAATTAATTCCTTTATAAATTTCCCATTACAAACTACCAACTACATCTTTAATTACATTAGGGATAATTAGTTACTTGTTATTGTATAATTACAAAATGCAACACGAAAAATATAACCATAAACGGACACTAATACGATATAAAGGACTAAAAAAAGGGCCCGTGTTTCCCAGTTTTGCCCAAAGTCATACACATTATTTATGAGCCCCTAAAGATTTGCGGCCTCGGTGAAATTTTTGCAAAAATGTTATATTATTCTCAGTCTCATATCTTGCAAACTGTTAGGAATTTAGATCTCTTGCCATAAATACTAAAATTGTAAACCTATAAATCCAAAAAAAAAACTTCGAGATTAAGAAATGCTTCTCAAAATTAGGCGATACTTAATATTGTAATATCAAAAATCAGACGGAGACGGACAGGGCGGGAAAAAAGCAAGGGCACAAGAGAAAACAAGGAAAAATAGGAAGAGGAAGGGGGGGAGGGAAGACGGGAACAAGGGGGGCGAGCGGGCGAGCGAGCGAAGAGCGAGCGAGCGAGCGAGCGAGCGAGCGAGCGAGCGAGCGAGCAGCGAGCGAGCGAGCGAGAGGACGAGCGAGCGAGCAGCGAGCGAGCGAGCGAGCGAGCGAGCGAGCGAGAGCGAGCGAGCGAGCGAGCGAGCGAGCGAGCGAGCGAGCGAGCGAGCGAGCGAGCGAGCGAGCGAGCGAGCGAGCGAGCGAGCGAGCGAGCGAGCGAGCGAGCGAGCGAGCGAGCGAGCGAGCGAGCGAGCGATCGAGCGAGCGAGCGAGCGAGCGAGCGAGCGAGCAGCGAGCGAGAGAGCGAGCGAGCGAGCGAGCGAGCGAGCGAGCGAGCGAGAGAGCGAGCGAGCGAGCGAGCGACGAGCGAGCGAGCGAGCGAGCGAGCGAGAGAGCGAGCGAGCGAGCGAAGCGAGCGAGCGAGCGAGCGAGCTAGCGAGCGAGCGAGCGAGCGAGCGAGCGAGCGAGCGAGCGAGCGATCAGCAAGCAAGCGAGCGAGAGAGCGAGCTAGCGAGCGAGCGAGCGAGCGAGCGATCTAGCGAGATCGAGCTATCTATCGAGCGAGCGAGCTCGAGCGATCTATATCTATCTATCTATCTATCTATCTATCTATCTATCTATCTATCTATCTATCTATCTATCTATCTATCTATCTATCTATCTTCTTTCTCTCTTTCTTTTTCAGTGTATTTTAGAAATACTCCAAAAATAGCATAAAAAAACTTTAACTGCAAATCATTGTGAACCGCAATAATACTCGCACAACAATGCTGTGATGTCGTCTATTCCCTTACTCCCATGGCGTACGCTTTACATGAAGAGATGGAATAAGGATAATGACACATACAATCAGCGTTAGATAATAAAAAATGGAAACAAAAAAACAAAACAACATTTTCATCAAAATGGAAAAAACAACCTACAACAATAAGAAATAAGATTATATTCGTTATTCACTTCAGTACTAAAAGTATTCAGTAGTTTAGTTACTACAAAATATTGTTCACTAGTCGTGGAAGATAGAAAATAATCAAGTTAAATTTTTAATTTTGTTGACAAAATTTATTCGTATTCATTTAACATTTTCATTAGAACATATGTATGAGTGTATGAGTACAAATATAAAATTTTGATAACTGCACATTGAATTTAAAGTAACAAGTTTTTGTTTTCATTTACTTATGTCAAAAAGAAAGTAAAAGAAACGAAAAATTGTCAGGTTTAAAAGAAAACTGACATTTAACGATAAACAACGTTAGATTAGGCATATGTGTGTTTTATTTCAAATTAGTTGGTTCTACCCGGCGAAACTTTTATAAATAATTCATTGTTAGTGTGATTCCCTATTAAGCTTGGATGCCGAAAAAATAATACTTTTAAGAGGTACTACGCCAAACTTTACGTATTTCATATAATCAGTTTCGGATGGTATATTTGAAATAATCACAATTTTTCATAATTCTCCATAAGAAGCAAACAAAGCGATTTTACAGACTGACGTACGGATGTTTGGACAAAAATATTGACTTTGAAATAAATTACTTTAAACAACTTTTTTTTAAACTACATTATTTTAAAACAACATGAAAAAGAACTCTTGACTTTTTTATTTCAATTAAAAAGGTCTATTAACTTCTTTATGTTTCGTTCTAATTCTTAACTTTCTTTCTATTAAAAAGAATATAAATTAAACTAGTTTCTGTTGAAGATTTTTTACTTTTAAACTTCCATGCAACATTAAACAACGAGGTACAAGAGCTAATAACTGCTAACGAACTTTATAATGTTTGACCAGTAAAAGAAATAAAAAGTAACAAATACAAAACTAAAACTGTATGAAAAAGAATAAAAACTAAAAAACTTGGAAAAAACTACTTGTACTTAAACATAACAATATTATCCATTTTCTTTTCAGGTCCTTCACCGCTTATGGACTTAGAAGTTTTTTGCTTAAACTCCAAAGAAAGCTGAACAATAGAGTAGAAAACAAAAACACATGAAAGTGTCCATGAAAAAAATATAGTGCTGGATGACTTTTGTTGCAAGTGCTACCCCTGTCGTTGTTGTTGTTTTTGTTGGCATCATCTAAGAATGTACTATATAAAAATGTAGAATAATAATTGAAAATTGCAACTTGTTTCATATGACTTCCGCAGGAATTTAACTTTTAATTCTTGCCACTTTTTTTCTACAATGTTTCTTTTTCCCCTTTCTTCGTGTTTTATTGTTGTTGCCTTTTTTCGTAGTTTATTGTTTGTTAAATACACTTTAACAATGTTTTTCCTTAACAAGTTTTAAAAGTTTTTACTTGTTTTATTTCTGTACGTTTCTTTTCATTTTCGTTTTTTTTTGTGATTTTAGCTAGCGATATTTCGCAATACTCATACAATCTAGTTGATTATCAACATGCAATACATGCAGGTGCAACAAGAAATTGTTGTGAGAACGAGAGCAAGTACATTAAATTTGAATAGGAAACAAAAACCGTGGCAATAGTTAGTTTAAGTGTTGGTAATATGGTTGTTGCAACAA